CTGTGTTTAGAAGATTTTATTTTTAATCATGTGTATTGTGTCTCCATATGTGGGTATGTGTGTATGACTGCAAGTTGCTGTGGAAGCCAGAAGGCTAATGAGCCCACAGTACTTTATGCTAGTTTTATAGTTACATAAAATATACAAATCAGTCATGAGCTGAGAAAAAAGTCAAATTTACTTTAAAACATGTGCATATAGTTTAATCATTGATGCTAGATGAAAGGAAGTTTATATACTAATGAGAGTGCTATGCTTGTTTATTTGTACTTAATTAAGTCAGGAGATGAAGAAATGACTCAGTGGTTAAAAGCAGTTGCTACAGTAGCAGCAGTTCCCATTACCTTCTCCCACCCCACACTCACACCCCATGGTGGCTAACAACCCTCTAGAACTCCAATTCCAGAGGGTCTCATATCCTCTTCTGGCCCCCACAGGTACTACATGCATGTGGTGAACAGACGTACATGGAAACAAAACATCCATACAAATAAGCCTTTTTAAAAATTTACGTCATCTAAGTATTTGATGCTTCAACACATTTGTAGACCATCATTGATTGGTCTATCAGAATTAAGTGATATTTACAATTGTCAGTGCTAAGAATAGAAAGCAAAAATAATGTGATACAAAATGGTAAATATATTTGGGCTGATTTTAGAAATTAATGTCCTAATCTCAAAATAAAATGTAAATCAATATTTTAAACAGCATTTCTAAAACCCAATATTATGTAGCAGTATAGAATATAATGAACCCTAATTTTGTACATGCTGAAAAGTGATGGTTGGAAAATATTAAGTACTCTCTAATTAAATCATCAAATTTGTAGAAGAGGAGAAAACTTTGTACAATGAAAAAAATGGTCATTTATGACATATTGTGGTAAGGTAAGGTATTTGAGGCAACATATGCTAGAGCTTGTATGGCTAGTTCATGCAGTGCAAAGTGTGTGGGTTATATATTTAGAACTAAGGATGCATACAGTAAGTTAATGTGATTCAACATGGATCAGCACCACTAGAAGCACCTCAGATTCGTTGAATTAAATTTTTGACGCTCGTGTGGTTAGGAACCTTTGTTACCAAATTTTTATGACTCCTCTTATACACACATTTCATTTATATGATCATCCCTTATGGAGCTATAACCCATATGTGATGTGTTAAGGAGCTGTATGTAATTTTGGTGTGTTTTTGTGGATTCTTTCCTCTGTAGTAACTATTGGGTCGTTATGTGCTATATGATTGGGTTTGATACATTCTTTTGCACTAAATTCCTTCCAGATAGAAACTTAAAATTTCTCATAATTAAATATGCCACCCATCTTGTGGTTTATATTTAGTAGTCATGCTTTATTTACTTAACATACTTTTAGAGTCTCCTGTGATGTTGTCCAGGAAAGCAGGACTCCCATCATATCCTAGGCCCTATATTACGCTGTTAAATTAATTTTCAAACTTTGTTAGGGGAATGAGTAACTTTATGTTAGGAGTCTTGTTTCACTTTCATTTTTTGCCTTCTTGAATAGCAAGTTTTACTTAATATTTTGCATTGTTAGGTGAAAATATGGATCACGTTGTAAAAAATGTGAAAAGCATTTTGAAGTTACAAGCATAAAACATAAATTCCTGACTTAAGTCATTACAGAACAGGGAATAAGTGTAACTGAATACGGAGTACCTGATGAGCATTTTCAGCTGGTAAACGTGGAGATCTTAAAGACTCCTAGTTTCCAGGCATTGTTAGAGTGATTTGTGATGAGAGACGGTTTCTTTTACATGTTCCCATGATAGAGGCTGACTGGATTTTGAACTTCCACTAGAACTCGCTGTTTCACTTAACAATATTGTACTATTTGAGGTCAGATACTGAGTAGTCAGAGTAGAATTTTCTTATTTTACATGAAGCATATTATAAGGAACTGGTCCTTGACCAAGGTAGACTTACCAAAAAACATTGATTCCATTATGGCACTATCAACAGACTAAGTATAAAGTGGTAATTTCCATGAAAAATGGTTAAGTGCTTGATAAAATATAAAGGCTTATTTTGAAAAGCCATACTGTAATGCATCTATAAATTACAGAAAATAATCCAAGGCCAGCAATGATGAGGGTGTCACTGTGTCAGCCCTTACACATCTGGCATCTACTATAAGTACACTTGTATCATATTCCTGGCCCCCTAAGATCTGACTAATAACCTATCATGCATATTGATAACAAGACATATTTTAAGAGCTGAGTAGAGTGGGGATCATACCAGATTACTCCCAGCTTTTTTATTTGGTACAAGTTGTATTGTTTAGGGTCACTATGTCTTTGATGGATTGACCTTTTCTCATTATACAGTTGTCCTCTCTATTTGGATTATTTTCTTTGCTTTGAGGTTTTATTAGTTGACACAAAGCCACTGTTGCTTTCTTTTGGCTGTTTTCTGTGATAGATCATTTTCCATTCTTTTACTTTGTCTTTAAAAAAATTATCATAAAATAATGGGTTTTACTGTGATATTTTCATACATACATATTATTGCTTTGCTCATATTTGCCCTTTGTCCCCCTCAATCATTTACTTTAAACCTACTTATATTGGTTTGTTCAGAACAATACATCTAGTTGGACTACGGGTTTCTGCTAATTTCATTTATCAACCCAGGCTGTGTATAGCTTGCAATTGCTCTATTTAGAACAAGTAGTATGTTATTGAAATGAGACCTGTTTTGCAGTCCAAACATTTCCACCTTGTTATTATTACATCTTATATTTCTTTTTGTAGACTTTTTTTCCGTTCTTAACGTTTTCTGTTGTTCTTTGTTTTAGTAAGTTCTCAGTAACCTTTGAAGCATTTTTAAGAGAACTGCTTTAAAATGTAAGATATGTCTAAACATTCCATATGAAATCTGCCTTCTTGTCTTTGTAAGTGATCATTCTATTAAACTTTGGACAATTTGGATATTGTAGCATACTGTATCACTACTGGCAAGTGCAGGCAGAAATTAAAGCTACCATTTTACACTCAAAAAGGAGAATGCTTCATATTGCTCCTGGGCAAGAGTAAGAGTTTTTATGCCCAGTCCAACATCCTGACACTTTGTCCCTAACTGGTAGGAATGCCTTGTTACTGTTCCCCATATAGTTACTGATCCCACTGGGGCTGTGTCCTTGTTACTACTAAGTGATTGTGAAGGCCTTAACTCTTCATCAAGGAAATTCTATAGCACCCCAGGACAGAGGAAGATTGGTTGCCTCCTTCTCCCTAGAGTGAGTATAAGTTCATGTTGTTGTGTAGCTTCTGTCACACTATAGGTATTTAGGGATTGGTCTGACTGTGTTTTGCTGAACACGGACACTAATTCAGTCTCCATTACCACTGCTAGGAGTTGGACCACTGTACTTGGTGGTACTTGACTGGAATACTGTTCACAGTTAGAACCTTCTGTCTTCACAGGCTTCTTTCTCTGTCTTTTTGAACCCTGGGAATTACTATCCAGATTATGGATCATTGAGCTATACCCTCAGCTCTTTTTTCCCCCTACAAAGACATTTTTTTTAAAATTTTTTTTAACAAAATAAAGCAAAAAAAAAAAAAAAAAATTCACATCAGGGCTGAACCAAGGGAACCCTACAGAAGGAACAGAGCCCCAAGAGCAGGCACATGAGTCAGAGACCCACTCATTTACACATTTAGGAGTTGCATAAAAGTACTAACCTGAAAGTTATAATCTATCTGCAGAGAACCTAGTGCAGACCTATACAGGCCCTGTGCTTGCTGCTTCAGTCCCTGTCAGTTCATATGAGCTTTGCTCAGTTGTTTTAGAGGGCCTTGTTCTCCTGGTGTCCTCCATTCCTTCTGTCTCCTACACCTTCTGCCTCCTTTCCCATGGACTCTGTGACCCCTAAGGGGAAGAATCTGATGGAGATATCTCATTTAGAGCTGAGTATTCGAAGGTGTCTCCCTCCCACTTGCCTTCCCTTTCTTTCTTCCCCAACCTCCCCTTTCTGTGATGTGACCCTCACATTGCTGACTTAAGATACTGAAGATCAGCCAGGCGCGGAGCGAGAGGCAGGCGGATCTCTGTGAGTTCGAGGCCAGCCTAGTCTACAGAGCAAGTCCAGGACAACCAAAGCTACACAGAGAAACCTTGTCTTAAAAGAAAAAAAAAAAATGGAATATTGTGGTTACAGTAGATGATGCAACCAATTTAGTCAAGGGAAGTTTTACTTTACAAGGGAAGGTCCTGAGTTTTACTTTACATCCTTTCCCAATTGAAGAAATAAAGTATGCTGAGGCATAGCCATGACTTTTGAGAGTGGTAACTAAAAATGCCCAGAGTACAGTAAGGATATGGGAAGTCACAGGAAAACCTGGGGACTCACACAGCTAAGAGGCCTTGCCTGACTTCTTGCTTCAGAAACCCAGCAAGACATTTAAATATTTCATTGACTTAGGTGTTTCTGTTTGCTTTCTCATCCTTAGATATAATGTGGGTAACTTGTTTGTAGCTTTGCATTTGTACCTTTCTTAAGTTGGGTGTTTCGATGATTGGACTCAACTTTGTTGACTAAAACTGTAGGAATTTGGATTTGTGGTTAGGTCAGTTAATGTATCAGTTTCCTCTGTGATATCCTAAACTTATAAGACTAGTCTTTTTCACCAAGCTGATGCCTAAGAACTCTATAAAGAAATATGATAATGACCTGATTATCATTTGCATCATTTGCTCAGTTGTTGGAGAAGAGATAGAACTGTGATTAAGCCCAGAAGACAGACATGTTTACTCACACCAAGACATGTTTGTGATTTCTGTGACATTTTTGATTGAGATGTTTATTTTTCTTGAAGTCAATACAGTGTATTGTAATTGTCAATTTTTCTCTGCTTTATTATTACATTGGAAGTTTAAATTAGTTTAAATGTTGAGCTGAGAATAAATAAAGTAATTTCATATATGCACTCATTCTTAGGAATGTTCTCCTTCTGATCTCTGTATTTAAGGTGTGACTGCACAGAAAAGTTACAGAGCAGATTTGAATTTCTGCGTTCACAGCTGAATGACATCTCATCATTTAAGAATATCTACAGATATGCCTTTGATTTTGCAAGGGTAGGTACAACTTCCCCTGCAAATCCTAAGTGGTTTCATTTTGTGGGCAACTTAATTTTTTTTTTAACTAATATTTTAGGATAAAGATCAGAGAAGTCTTGACATTGATACTGCTAAGTCTATGTTAGCACTGCTGCTTGGAAGAACGTGGCCACTGTTTTCAGTATTTTACCAGTACCTGGAGGTATGTATTGGTATTTTAAAATCGGATTGAAAATACACTTTGAAGAAACAAAGTCTGTACTTTAAAAAAATTCAGCATGCATAAAGAAGTCTGCTAAAGTATGTATATGCCCATTGTCAGTTTTAAACGTAAGTTTGTGTTATTTAATATATTCTGAACATAAGATACTTGGGGCCTGGGGTGTAACTTGGTAATGGAATACATGCTTTGCATTTGTTAACACTTTGGATACCTTCTCCTATACCACATTAAAACAATTTTAAGGACTTTTCATTCTGCCTAGGAGGAGTCCCAGAACTTAATCTCTTGAGGTTTTGGTGAGAACAAATTGATGCTAGTGCGTAAATCTCAAGCTTTTAAACCAGACTCTACCTTATTCCCACTCTTAGTCTTAGTCTTAGGTGGAAGCATACACAACTGAATTTATTTTAGCAATAAAACTTTTATTTTCTAATTAGACTAAATACTAAGAAATAGAATAAAGTGCTAATATTTTGTATTCACAAATATGAGCATGGCTGTAATAGTCCTCCACTACACTGCTCATTATGCATCACGCGTGGGAGTCATAGAATAAACATCCTCTTAATAGTTTACTGTAGCTGCTAGATTCAGCAGTTCTAAGACATGATCCTTTTCCCACTGGTTTATTTGTCTAATTTTATATTTATTTTTAAACCCTTTAATTTTTGGGTTTTGAACGTAATCTTAACCATTTCCTATTCCTATTGGAAATAACATCATAATGTTTACTTTTCACAGTAACTTTACCGTAAAAATTTTATTTAAAGCCTGTGTAAAAGAGTTTTGTACAGTGTAAATCTTTGTGACCAGGAAAGTTGATGTTTTCGATGATTGATTTATATCTTTTGTTACTTGAACAAACATACATTTAGGAAAATAATCATTTCTGTGGGGCTTTGAAGAGAACTAGGTATGTTCAAGCAATTTATCATTTAGCAGTTGAGGGAATGGGATTAGTTTGGTATTTGGGGATTGTTTTGTTATTTGTTGTTGGTTGGGTTTTGGTTTTGGGAAAGAGATTGTGTTTTGAGGGGGACATTGAGAAAGTCTTGCTAGATAGCCCAGGCCATCCTTGAACTCGTGAGCATCCTGCCTCCGTCTCCCAAGTGCTGGGATTACAGGTGTGTGTGTCACCATACCTAGTTGTACTGTTGGGGATGGATCCCTGAGCTCCTGCCAGCCAAGGTCTCTGCCACAGAAGTAACTTTCCTAAGACTGTTCAATTTAGTGTCCACACTGGGATTTGGTCCAAGCTCATATTGTTTCCACTACTGCTGCAGATGCCTCCTTCAAAATGGAGATCATGCATAATGCACACACGTTCTATATAGTGGAAACCATATGGTCAGACTGACTACATGTAGGATAGGTTCTATATTATGATCTGAGTGCCACATGGGTACACATATTTATATCTCAGTGTTAGTCTTAACTGCCTTCAGAAAAGAAAATAGATGATAGCATGTGAGTCAGTTCAAAAAAAGCAAGTTATTAAGAAGGAAATAAATGTTTTAGAAAAGGCCAAATAAGAAATGGACAACTAGAGTTGCTAAAACCAAGCCCCAATAAGAATGTTGGTTCTGTAGTCCAAATGTTTATATCATTTTCCACAGCAATCAAAGTATCGTGTTATGAACAAAGATCAGTGGTACAATGTATTAGAATTCAGCAGAACAGTTCATGCCGATCTTAGTAACTACGATGAAGACGGTGCTTGTAAGTATATCATGAATTCCTATGAAAATAAAAATATTAAATGAGATTATGCATTCTATAGCATTAACAGAAAGTTTGAACTGGTGTGAGAGCAACCCTTCAGTTAATCAGGATATGGGGGAGACAGGCTAGACTGAGAAGTGCTGTAAAATCTGTGCTCGTAAATAGCTTTGATTCCTCCATGGCTGGACAGTACAGCTTAGTGATCATTTCTCAGCCTAGAAGCGGAAATTCTACTTTGCCACTTGCCTTTTCAGTGAAAGAAAGTTTCACTTACGCATTTAGGACGACAAAGGCACAACAAATAAGACAAGTCAATTCTGTGGAACGCTTAAGCTTTGGTCTCTACAGTTATTAGGGGTGCTGTGGTATGTTTAGTGTTCACAGGGGTACTTGGAAAGGTGCCTTCCTTTAAGATGAAAATAATATACTCTGACACAGAAGAAACAAGGTACTAAAGAGACAACTGTCCCTCCTAAGGAGTTTTCTTTCCCTACGGTGTGGGGTAGAGTTTAATTCTTGTTTGAAGATATAATCATTTTCTGCAGTAGGCTGGCAGCCCAAAGGCTATTTAGAGCCTGCAGATCTGTGTATATTGAACCAGCATTTAAAACTGAGAGGCTTGATATAAAAATAAACTTATAAATTTATTTGAACTATCAGGATCTGACACATTGCACCTGTATTCCTTTGTAGGTTTCAGAGGTTGGAACCAAGTAGTGGCTTGTGTTGAACTTGCTCTCCAGTTTGGCAGTCCACGCAGTATTCCAACATTGCCATTTACTGCTTTGCCTGCCCGGCTGTTTTTGTATGATCTGCTAAAAGCAAGAGAGAAAAGAACACCCAGAGGTTTTATGTTTTGAGAAAAACAAGACAAGCATATCTCTTCGTGGTCATACTTTACCTACATTTTGAAAATACAAATACTGAAACCTCATTTAAATTGCCCTCTTGGCTTCTGTTGGTAAACATTTGGAACCTCTATGTTATAAAACATATTTTTAGAATAGTGGTCAGTCAGCTAGTAAGCATTTGCTTTATGCTGCCCTTTTTACTGTGTCCTATTTTTAGAATAAAGTCTTGTGTGGCCACTCCTCCTTAACAAATGCTCATACTTCTTGATGTAGCAAAAAATATATTTTCTGAGTGTTTAAATGTCAATGCTGTGGGAAAAGGTTAGTTTTGTTTTATTTATAAGGGAGTTCATGAAACACTCCTTGAGAAGAAGAAAACCCTGGGGGGAAAAAAAATCAGAAAGGGGTTCCTTGCCACCTTGAAGCTTTTTAGAGGGATGAGTTTATTGAATTATAACAAAACTTGTTTCTTCTTTCTAGGGCCTGTTCTTCTTGATGAATTTGTTGAGTGGCAAAAAATACGTCAAACATCATAGCAAGAACTGTTGTGAAGAAAATGCAAATCTTGTGAAGAAAATGCAGAAGGAGGGAGGATACACAGAGGGTGCATTTCATCACGAAAGACTTCTCATAGTACTTTTTCCTTTTTTTTAAAGGAAGTTTTCTTGTTACATGTGATGGGCATTGAGCCACATGTCTTCTGAGACTGAATATTGACATTTTTGTTTCAAGTTATGTTTTTAACATTTATTTCAGAACAATAAAGATTCAGATTTGTGACAAAGGCCTTAAAGTGAAGATGTCCATTGAGTGTCAGAGTGGTATTTATTTTGGTAAATTTGATTTCTTGAACTTTTGAAGTTCTAAATCACTATGCCTTTGTAGAACTTTAAAGACTTTAAGTAATCTAAATATTTGGAAGTGTGGGAAGGGCTCCAACTTTGTTTATGCACAACTTTATCTAAAGAGTGTAGGACTGGAAAGATTATGTCCAAGTTGTCTTATTTTCTAACCATTAAGTGTTTTCAATAAGCGTTCTTAATGTGAGTTGTAAGTTTTTTGTATCTCTGTAAGTTAAAAAGGTTTTCTTTCCAAAAGCAAAAGTCAGTGTTATGAAAGTTTTAGAACCAAGATTGAAGTTGTGGTTTTTCTTAACATTGTTTAGTAATTAGCATGATTTTAGCCATAAAGATACGGAGTTTTGCTGAGAGCCATAAAGATACGGAGTTTTGCCTTCAAAATACTTGAGCTTCAGTGTTATAGACTTGGTTATGATATACACTGGAGAAGAAGATAACAGGAAAGATGAGAGACTTGGTGTAATTGTTCACCTCATGAAGCTGTATACTTTGTTCCCCTGTGTGAGGGTCAAATTCAGGACCTTGCCCTATGTGAGGTTCTGCCCTGAGCTGCATCCCTAGCCCCAGTGAGACAGTTTACATTTGCAGTCACACACTTGCTGTTTATCCCAGTCTTAGGCTACTAGCAGAAAGGTTTTGACAACCTTGTATAATTTATGTGGAAGGCATGTTTTAGATCAATATCGGGCCTGTCCCTGGGCTTTCAGCTCACCCAGTGTCCTAGCAGTGTGAGAACACTCAAGAGTCTAAGCCTCATCCTCAGTAGTACTTGTTTCATTGTATGTGTGGAAAGACATAGGTACCTTCTTTTTCTATAATAGGAAATTTTCAATTGAGACTTAGAGTAGAGGCTGCTAATTTGTTATGGTGTATTTGTTTAATGAATACTTCATAGTGCTGATTTTTATAAGGGAGAGTGTCATTCTTAAGACTTTGATTTGCCTTTTGGTTGATAAACAAGGAGAACATGATTGCTAGTTCTGTTTGCCTTTTTTTCTTCTTGTTTATTTTATTTTATTTTATTTTTATTTTATTTATTTTTAGACCAGGCTGGCCCTGAACTCGGAGATCTGCCTGCCTCTGCCTCTGCCTCTGCCTCTGCCTCCCATGTGCTGGGGTAAAAGGTGTGCACCACTACACCCAGTCCTGCGCTTGCCTTCTTAAGAAGATTACAAAGCTGTATAAAACACTGACAGGACATTGAAAAATAACTTGTTCTAAAGTCTTTCAGATAGGGGACATTTTCCTGCATTGTTCATTTTAGGTATGAGACTTGCCGATTATTAGAAGTTAACAGTGTTATCATTTAACATCACAAATGATGTTTTAAAACAAAATTTATTACAAGAGGTTTACAGGTTTTGTGTGAGGGATGTGTGGTTACTGCAGATTGAAGAAGGGGAGTCATACCTGTACACTAGACAACTGCTCTCCCACTTAGCCATATATTTACCCGGTCCAGACCTCTGGGTGTATAACTTACAGCAGTTTTAGACTTACTTATTCCATTTTATGTGCGTGAGTGTTTTCCCTGCACATATGTCTGTGTACCATGTATGTGCCTGGTACCCATGGAGTTCAGTAGAGGATATCAGATCCCCTGGAACTGGAGTTGAAAATGATTGTGAGCCATTATGTAGGTGCTAGGAACAGAACTGTGGTCCTCCCCAAGACCAACCAATGCTCTTAACTACCGAGCCATCTCGCCAGCCCCTGAATTTGTAATTTTATTATCTTCTCCAAGGTACAACTTCTCAACTTGAAGAATTTTTAACTTCCAGATCTAAGCAAAATCTTACAGGCTTCTAGGATACAGCCTGAACTACCTTGAACTAATGTTCTATCATCTGTATTTTATAAGTAAAATAATACTCAAATCTTATTGGTGACCCTTAAAGAGCCAATGGAAGTGTATTTCATTTATTAGCCACCAATCCCTCCCCCCAAAAAAAACTTTTAAGTTAAACTTATATTCACTGATCTTTTTTCCTTAAACTCATCACTCCAGTCATGTTGCCTTTACTCTTCTATTTCTTGTCTTTCAAATTTTAACATTTGCCTACTTTAAAAGCAGATTTGTCATCTGTCAGAATAGGGGTTTGTGTCTCTTGCCTTTATTTGTGATTAGTATGTCAAGGATTTTAAGTGGTGAAGACAGTATTAAGAGGCCTGCAGTTTAGAAATGTGCCTCCTCTTAAAACTCAAGTGCCTTCCCAGGAATCTTATAAAATGTTCAGATATTGCATTATGTAGAATGAAATACCTATGGTGCTTTATAACATGGAGTTGACTTCTTTCTCATAAAATGTACACATGGAAGAAATAGAGCCAGGTGTGGCAGTTTAACAGGAAGGATGGAGAACTGGTCTCCATAGTCTTATGGGGTCAGTCATTTTTTTAATAAAATATTGCCAGAGATTCAGGTCCAGTGTGTGGCAAAGCAGTGGTGTGTTACATACTCATCTGATCAGTGTTTGTGTTTGTCTCTAGCAGTCTAGAGATGCTTGTTGGAGTGCTATTGATAAAATTCTTGACATGCTGTCTTGAGTTCTCAAAACACAATGTCTCACTTTGTATCCCAGGCTGGTTTTAAACTCATTCATTGCATAGCTCAATCTGGCTCCAACTCTGAATCCTGTAGCCTTAACTCAAATCCTCAACCTTCTGAATGTCTTGGTTACAGGTGTTAACTACAACACCTGACCTCACTTAGTACCTTTTGACAGTCTTTTTTTTTTTTTTACTGTTTAGGTTTTGTTGATATGTTTTACTCTGAACTAGTCTAGATTAGTTTTTAATGGAATAGAAATTTGAGGATGTTCCATAAGGGATCCTGGGCATTCTGTCTCTTATGTACAAATGCCTTTCACTTAGCAACCCAAAACTTAGTTTAAACACCAGGTACCATCAATCAATTTGGGTGAGTGGGTTGTGAGATTGGGGGTTAGGGGAATGGCTTTCTGAGGTAACTGAATTTTAAAGCATGTGAAGTTGCGCAGCTTCAGGATACATACACAAAATATTTTGCTAGTGCCATATTACTTTTTTCTGTCTGTTCAACAGAGCATGTTCCTTCTCAACATGATGAAAATAAATAATGGAACTTTCAGGAGCAAGTGTTAAAGACTCCTTGAGTAATGTGTTGGTTTTTTTGTTTTGTTTTTGTTTTTGCTAATATTATCAAGGTAGTAATTTATAATAAAGTAAAATGTTTTGTTTTGTAAGCCTAAAGTTTTATAGACTACCTCTCACATGCTTCCTAAATGTCTATAAATAAGTAAGTAGGGGACATTTTAATGATGGAATTTAAATGTTTCTTTACAAATAGCAAAGTAATATAATGCTATTGCTGAAGAAATTTGTTTTCCCTGAGAGGAACTCTCAAGGAATGGCACTGATACTGGAAAACACCAGGGAACATCAGAGACAGTATCTTGCTCTCTCCAGGAATCCCAGGAGAAAAGCCTGGTCCAAATTACCAGTACTCTGCTCTTATAGCTCAGTGAATATACTTTTATCACATAGTAACAACCAGACAGATACATAAGATTCTTTCCTTCCCCTCTGGTTCTTGGGTCTCAGACAAATGTCCTTGGGTTTGGCAGCCAAAGCTTTTACCTGCTTGCTTAGCTACTTATTTCTCTGGCCCAGTTTTGCCATTATTCCAGGAAGAAAAATAGCATGTACTGAGGCCATGATAAACTGATAGTGTGCTTGTGTTCAGGGCAGGAGATGAATGCAATTGGTAAGAACAGTATTCGTGAATATTAGAACTGAGGTGAGAGATTGGGGTTAACTGTTGTGGCCTGACTTCGGCTAATCGCACGGGGCATCACAGTCTTTTCTAAAGATGACTTCTCGTTGAGTGGCCTAGCAGTTGGGGTTCTCATTAAAGGCAATGCACTCAGTAAGATAAAAAGGGAAATGTACTTGAAAGCCCAAGTAATAAAAGTGGTCAGACTCCGGATGCACTGTGATGTGTAGTATGTTGATAGACTGTGGGATGTGAAGAAAGGTGGCCTCTAGGTTTAGAAAGTGTGAAGGAAGTAGCCACTTCCTAAGATGGAAAGACTCAGGAAAGCATGCTTGACAGCTTAGAGCTGTCCTGTCCTTCATGTGTAAACACACTTATTAGTTGTCCAGGTGAATGATACAGTGAGCAGTTGGATATTTTAATATGTATCAGATCCATTTGAAAGTCATAGTGTATGAGCCTGTTATAAGTGAGGACTGAATTCATACAGAAGCTAAGTATAACCAGACAATAGAGCTGAACTGATAAGATTATGGAATTTTAGAGCAGTTCTGTGTTATTTTTCAAGTAACAATGTAACATTAGCATTTTCTGCCACATCATGCCTCCTAATGTTATAAAGCACTAGGATTTTTAAAGCAAGATTGATTATAGTTATCAAATATATAGTCAAATGGTGAACCAAAAAGATATGTGTCACTTTATTCTTCAAAAGATTTTTTTTTGATTTCTAGTAAAACAGTCTTACATTTTAAGGATATCCTGCTAATTCTCTTCTGGTAGTTGGAAAATCCCATGTGTTTCGGTTTGATGGCTTTAGCACTAGAGGGCAGGCTTGCCTGCTTCTGGACCGTGGAGAGCTGATGCTGAATTGAATTAAGCAAGTATTTTGTCAACATTCAACCTCAATGAATGAATGTTTTTGTTTCTTAGTGTCAGGTTTCCACCCACTGTGTTTCTTTTCTCCTTTTCTGAAAGCAGGAGTGAGACTGATG